GATGGACTCAAGGATAGATCTTGTGTGTGGCGGGCAGGGCAGAGATGAGTGGACCATCAGGAGGACAAAGTGGGTGTCTGTGAAGATGGGGCAATGAGCCGCAGAGGATCAGTGTGTGTCTGGGGGCAGGGGAGGAGGCAGGACTCTGCTGGAGGTGGGGTGTGTGAAGCCCACTGAGGGTGGGAATTTAAATATTCCCGTGAGGTGGGCGGAGCTGAGGGTTGGGGTGAGGGATTTGAGCTCCCACCGAACACCCCTTGGAGTAAGGGAGGGAGCCCTGAGGCCTTCCCCTCTCCCCCCATCTTGGTTTATCTGTTTATAAAGCTAGAAGTGTAGAGGTAGTAGTAGTTTTTGGGTTGGAGTCCGTGTGAGGTAATCTTGCTTCCTCTTTGGCAAAAGCCACGGCAGCCGTGGCGGCAGTGGCGGCGTTGGTGACGGTGATGGGTGGGCCCCCTGGGGTTGGGGCCGCCTTGCGCCTGTGGGCCGAGGAGCGCAGGTGGGAGGCCAGGGCTTCGTGCCCACTCAGCAGCACCTCACATGCCAGGCAATGGTAGGTGCAGATGGGCACCCGCAGCGGGGGGGGCACAGAACCCCCTGAGCCCCGCCCAAAGAAGCAGAAGGATCTCTGATGAGCCGTGGCCGGGGCCTCCCCATCAAATGCCATCTTGCACTGGCGGCACAGATAGCGGTGGGTCACATCCACGGTGGAGATGCCGGTACTGCCTGACAGCAGCTCATCCGCCTCCCCGGCCTCCCCCTCCCCTGGAGCAGGCAGTTCGGGCGGCTTTGGAGGTGCTGTGGCTGTGGGCTCAGGGGGCTGGGGTGGTGGCTGGAGGAGGGCATTGGGGAGCAGTCCGATGAGGGTCTGAGGTATCACGGGGTTCATGGGAAATAGCCCCTTCTTCATCCCATAGAGCTGTTGGAAGTAGGCCCCCTGTAACTGGGGGCCAAAGACAGCTGGTGGTGTTGCCCCCCCTGCGGGGGGCAATGGGAAGGGCAGAAATTGGCCCCCCAACAGGGCTGGGACTGTAGCCTTCAGTGCTTTGAGGTTCTTGAGGGCGTCAGTGGAGGAGTTGGTGGGCGCTGCAACTGGCTTGCGCTCACCAGAGACCTTGTCCCCGGAGGGCTCAGTAGGGGGGCCTGGGGCAGGGTCAGTGGTGCCTGCTGTGGAGTTGTTAGTTTGTTCGGGCACAGGTCTCTGAGGTAAGGGGCAGCCTGGGCCAGCAGTCTGGACCACTGTGGTAGCAGGCAGGACTGAAGTGGCGAGGCCCAGGAGGCCCGAGGAGGCTGCAGGGCCTAGGAAGACGAAAGGAGGGATGAAGGGTTAGCCACCTACTGGCCTGGTGTCCATCCTGCCACCTCCAGCCACACCCTTGCCCATTCCCACCACCTAGCTGCCTTGCTCCCTTCCCTCCCTTCTCTCCCCCAAGAGCTTGAAACTAAGGAGGCAACAGGAGAGTGGAGGTGGAAGAGTCCAGGAGAAAAAAGAGGGGCATGTCATTAGAGAGAGATGCTTTCTGAAGTCCAACCCCTCCCAACTGCCCACTCACCTGAATTGAAAGGAGCTAGGCTGCCCAGCGGGGGTTGGGCCAGAGCTGGACCAGACAAGAGGACCGGGGCCAGGCGAGGCAGGGCTGGGCCAGCTCCAAGGGGCACAGAGGCAGGTGTGGTGGCCGGTGGGGCCTTGGGAGCTGGGGGTGCCTCAGGTGCTGGGGCCAACTCGTAGCACTTGCTTTCACTCTTCAGCTGGGCTCGGACTGCCTCTTTGAGCTTGGCCAGGTGCTGGCGGGAAAAGAGATGGCCTCGGCAGGAGACATAGAAATCATACTTGACGTCACAGTAGGGGCAGTCGGTGCGCTGGGCTCCCAAGGGGCCCTCACCGTTGCCCCCAGCCCCACCAACTGCCGCCCCCTGCAGTTTGGCCTTCTTTTCCTTGGCACGAGCATTCTGGAACCAGACCTGGATGACTCTCTTGGGCAGCCCAATCTCCTCCCCCAGCACCTCGCACTCCTGCATGGTTGGGGTACGGTAGGCTTCATAACAGGCTTTCATGATCTTCAACTGCAGGCTGCTCATCTGGGTCCTGTAGCGCCGCTGCCCCATTCCATCTGGAACCCCGACCCCACTTCCTGTTCCTCCACTGCTTCCCCCAGCCCCAGGAGACTCTGGTTCGGCCAGACTGGAAGCAGACGAATCGCTGAGATCCCCTGCAGATGGACTGCAAGCCTCGCTCTCTGGTGAAGCTTTAGAAGGTTCCTCTGTAGCCTCTTCCTCACTGGGTGGAGGGGGAGGTGGGAGAGGTAGAGGTGGCTCTGGTGTTGGGGTGGTGGCCTCCTTCCCAGGTGGTAGGAAAGCAAGGGGCCCGGCAGCAGGAGTAACTGGTGGGTAGGGAAAAGCAGGTGCTTCCCGCTTTGGGGCTTCCCTCCCAGATCCATCATCTACCTTGCCCAACAAGAGGTTGAACTTGGGGAAGGCTGCAGGGGCAGGAGTGATGGGGGGCTTGACTGCTGGATTGGGCACCCCACCAGGGGTGCTTCGAAACTGGCCTTTCCTCTCCCGGGCCCTGGTGTTCTGGAACCAGACCTGCACCACCCGCTTTTTGAGTCCCACCTCCTCGGAGATGCAGTCGAGCATCTTGCGCGTTGGGTTGGAGTCTTGCATGTACCAACGGTACAGGATCTCCAGCTGCTCGGGCAGGATGGTGGTACGTAGGCGCTTGTCCCTGGGGGGCTCGCCCTCCCCTCCACCCCCTGCCTCACTGCCCGTTGGGGACAGGCTGCCCTCCTCATGCTTCCGTTTCAGCAGTGGCCCTGGGGCCTGTGGAGCACCTGCCACCAGGGGGCTTCGCTCCCCAAACACCAGCAATGGCAGATCTAGGAGGTGGGGTGCAGCACCGGGCTGCAGGGATGGCATGAAGTGTAGCCGGCGGTGACTGGTCAGGAGGTCTTGGCTGGGGAAAGACATGGTGCACTGGTCACAAGCGTGGACTGGGGAAGGCGAGGGAGGGGCCCTCCCTTCAGGCTCTTTGCCTCCTGGGTTTGTTGCCTCTGCTTGGCTCAGCTCTTCCCTGTCTGCAGGTTCAGGTGACGGGCCCCCGGGGCGTGCGGGGGGTTCCAGGCTCTGTTCCTCCTCTGCATCCTCCTCCTCTACCTCTTCTTCTTCTTCCCCCCTCTCTGCCTCTTCCTCTTCCTCTTCAGGGGGCTGGTCATCATAGCATTTCTTGAGGTGCCGCACCAACTCAAAAACACAAGAGAAGGTGGCATGGCAGCGCCTGCAGCCAGAGGCTCCCCCGCTGCCCCCTCCGGTCGGCACAGGCCCCCCCTCGATGGCATTTTTGCGTGCTTTCTGGCGGGCATTCTGGAACCACACTACCACCACACGGGTAGCCAGGCCCAAGAGACTTGCAAGCCGCTCCACTTCTCCGTCCTTGGGGTAGGCACTGGTCTCGAAGAAAGACTGTAGGGCTTGGGTCTGGAACTCTGTGAACTTGGTTCTGGAGAACCTGCGGCCTGCAGGCAGTAGGGGAGGCAGATTCCCTCTGGAGCTTTCTTCCTCCTCTGGTGGCCAGCGTCCTCCTGCCCGGCTTCGCTCCTCAGAGGGACGGGCCCCCCCTGCCTCAGACTCTGGGACCAGGAAGGGAGGGCCCAGTTGGGGAGCTGGTGAATCCAGGGACCCATCAGGAGGTTTGGGGGGCTCTGCAGGGGGTGGGTATAGGCTATCGTAGCTCTTTCGAAACTGAGCAGCATAACGGCTCAGGGCCTCAAAGGGCAGAAATCGGCGGTGGACATGCTCCTCATGTGTCTTGAGGATAAGCATATTGGAGAAGAGTTTCCCACAGGCCCCACAGGCCAGCTTGTCTCCACCCCCCAGGGCCTCTGGTGGGGGTGGGGTCGGGGGAGGGGGCACAGCCTGCTTCCCCTCGTTGTACTGGATCACCAGCTCAAAGCCAAAGTTTTCTAGAAGGGCTTTGGCTGCAGTGCGGGCTGCTTCATTGGGCGTGGAGTTGGGGGGCGAGGCGGGCCCCGCCTCATTCCCCTCTTCCGCCATGGGAGGCCGCTCCCACTCCCGCTCAGCCAGCTCAGCCTTAGAGGGCGGGGGAGGAGGAGTGGCAGCTGGCAGAGACAGCAGGGGTGTGGGCCCAGCCAATGCCAGCTTGGGCCCCACCTTGAGGTCATGGAGGTAGAAGGGCAGGAGCAGCTGTTGCTGCTGGAGCTTAAGCAGTGATTCTGGCACCAGAGGGAAGGGGGGCAAGACTGGTGGGGTGAAGAGGGGTGCTGGGAATCGGTGTAGGTCCAAGGGGGGTGGGGGAGGCGACAGGAAGGGCAACCCAGATACGAAGCCACCAGGGTCAGGGCCCTTCTTCTCTGTGCCAGTCTCCCCCTCAGTCTCACCCTCCTTGGGCTCTTCTTGGCCACGCTCTGGCCCCTCGGCCTTGGCGTCAGTCTTGGTCCCCCGAGAGCGAGTCTGGTGCAGAACTGAGCGCATATGGATCTCTAGGGTGGAGCTCTGGTTGTAGGAGACTCGGCAGACAGTGCACTTAAAGGGCTTGTCTGTGGCAGCAGCAGTGGGAGGCGCAGCACCTGCCTCTCCTCGGGCAGCGCCGGACGGGTCAATGGCAGCCTTCTTCATCTTGTGCAGGTGGGAGACAGAGTTGTAATGGACCAGAAGGATATTCTTCTGTGTGAAGGACTCCTTACACACAGTGCACTTATAGGGCCGGGCAGGGTCAAGAAACTTGTCCAGGGCAAAGTTGGTGGTCTTCCGATAGGTCAGAGGGTGGCGAGAGTCAGATGGAGCTGGCTCTGCAGGGCGGGGCTCCCCCACACGCCCCTCTTCCTCCTCAGCCATGGTGGGTGGAGGGGCCAATTCTTCCACCAGGACATCAGGCCGAGAGGCTGGCGATGGGGCTGGAGAAGGGGGTTGATCAGGGCTTCCTGGGGGCTTGTCTGGGGCCTCAGCTAAGGGCGGGGGAGGCTCAGGAAGAGGATCAGGACTGGCTTCTGGGGTCAGCTGAGGGCCTTCTGAAGGAAAGAGAAGGGTGCCATGAGAAGGTAACTGTCTGAAGTCAGACCCCACCCACCCCATATCAAGGACAACTGATCCCTGCCTCAGTTGTCTTCAGACCCTCTTGGTCCATGAAGCTCACGTCCCCTTTCTTACCTGCTCCTTGTTCTCTGCTGGGTTCAGGCTCTGGCCCCGGAGCAGGGGGCTCTGGGGCATCCCCCAGTGGGCATAGAGTGGGCCCAGGCAGCACTTTGGTCGTAAAGGTCATCTCTACAGTTGTTGCCTGCAATGGAAGAAAGCCCAGTGACTCCCCTGTGCTGACCCACCCTGCTACTCCTCACGCCCTGCTCTGCACCTGGGCTTGTGCCCAGCTCCTGTCCAGGGCTCCAGTCTCCTCCTGGAAACACTCCCAGAACTTTGGCTTTTCCCCAGAGGGGAGGGCCTGGGCTGCTGCCTCTCCTGCACCAAAGCCCATGCCTCCCGTTGAACAGCTCTTATCAGGACCTAATGGAAATGAAGGAAATGCTTGGCTTCCTCACCAACATTGTCCCCGCTAAACCCATACTTGCCTGGACGCCCCTGCCTCTTCTTCCCCTCCTGGCCCTAACAGGGCCTTCTGGATGGGTCCTCACCCAGCCAGTACTCACCACAAGCAGCAGCTTCTCAACGCACTCGGGCACCACATTGTGAAGGTGGCTAAGGTGGAAGTGCAAGGCAGGTCGGCCCACCAGCTGCTCCTGGCACAGCGGACACCTGTACTTGGGCTGCACTGCATGCTGGGAGAGGGTGTGAGCCCTCACCTGTTCGGGCTCAGGGCTCAGGAAGCTGCAGTATGGACAGCAGAATACCTGGGGGCACATGGGTTGGGGAGGAGGTGTCAGAGAAGGATGGGGCCCACCATCACCCAGCCCTTTGTGTTCTTGGACACAGCGTGATCCCCCACTCCCAATGTAGGAGTGAGCCGCATTCAGAGGCATCACGGCATCACCACGGATCCAGCCAGAAGCAAGAAGCTGGCTCCTCCCTCATTTCCCTTCCACTGGGACAAAGGCCTAGGCTAGACTTTCCCCTTGCCTGCCTTCTTTGTCCGGCCCTCTCCCTCCATGCTGGCCTGTCTTTCCTTGGTCTTTGCCTCTCTCTGCTGCCTTGCCTAGTACTCCAGCTACAGTATGACCCTGTACCTATCTCCCCGGGATTTAGTTTTCTTACCCACCCACACCCTGCCCGTGTCTTCCCTGTGAGATGGCGCCCCTGCCCTCTGGCACATCTGGACCCAGAGGCTCCTTTATCCCTGCCCACTCTGCCTCCCCAAGGTCCCTAACCTGAGTGTCTCCTGAAGAGGGGCCCTCCCTACCTGTCTGCTCAGAAGCCGGCTCATCTCTCAGCGGCTCAGCAGCTCCCACTTTCTTTTCCTTTTCCCCTTCTGAATGTAAACAAACGCCACAGCTCCCCCAGCGGCCCAGGAAAATTCTGTCCTGCTCTGCAGGCACATTCTCACCCACACCTCTAGAGGGGTGGGGCCAAGGGAAGGCCCTGTCTCCACCTTCGTCACCTGACTGCCTGACCTCCAGCCTATCTTCATCTCCCTGGCTCAGTTCCTCTCCTGCCCCCTGTGCCACTGGTCCAGGCCTGCATACTGGGACAGGATGGCCATAAAGGAAGGGCATCCAGATGCTCATTTTAATGCACTTGGCCCTCGGAACAGACATCTGGAATCGGTCTGCAGGAGAAAACAGGAGTGAGGAGGGTCTGGCCAGCACTGCTTCAGTCTGTGGGAATGTAGTAATCCTGCCTGTTGAGGTCCCATTTGGAGAGCTGTGAGGGAGGGGCAGCATGGAGCCTCAGGGACCCAGTCTGGGAGTCCCCTCAGAATCCACACTCTCAGGCCACAAAGCTAAAACACACAGGTCCTGCCTAGGCCAGGCAGAGGCCCAAGGCTGGGAAACTTGGAGAGCTTCAGGGTTTGCTATTTGGGTCAGTCATCTGGGCTGGGGCCTCTACCCTCAGGAAGGAGGTGCCCAGAAGGTTCCATGCAAGCTTAGGGCCTTCTGCAGGAGATGACCATCCGTGTCTAGTTGTCTTTCTGCTCCTGACAGGAATAGAGAGCTGGGCAGCAGGCTAGCCTTTTGGTTTGGGCTTTCTCTTTTCATTTCTTCACTTTTGTCTTCCCTCCTCCCCTCCTTCCTCCACCTGCTTCCAGCTTTTCCTACCTTGGGACAGCTTCTGTCTTCACTTTTCCCTCAACTCCTGCCCTCCCTTCTTGTCTTCTCCCTCTGTGCTCCACCCCTGGGGCCAGCTCTGCTCCCTGTATGGTGCTAAACATATAACTGGCCCTAGGTGGCATCTCTTAATGTGTTTTGAGACCAGTCACAAGCATGACAAAACTAGGTCTGCCATTAGTCTGAAATCTGGCTGTAAAGCTCTACTGATAAGAATTTCAGGCTTTAGAATATGAACAAGTTTCAGTAAAACCAGGCCCTACCCCCCCCCCCCCCCCCCCCCCCCCCCCCCGCCCAGCTATTCCCAATTACCCCAGTTCTGACCGTGGTCTGGTTGGCACTGTCTCCTCGAGAGCCAGACTTGTTCTCGACCTCTTCAGAAGCTGAAAGGAGAAGAGATTAAGAGACTCTGACAGCCTTCCCTCTTTCTTTCCAGACCCCCAGCCCTTAAGATTACCTGATTTGTAGCAAAGAGCCTCCAGGGTAGGGGGCTGGGCTGGGGGGAAAGGGCAGGAAAGCACAAAGCTGTACACAGTACAGGGAAAGGAGGCCCAGCAGGGCTGATCCCAGGTTAGCGGGATGGCCAGATTTAAGCCTTTTGTGGCTCCCCCCTCCTTTCCCTCTGATGAGCCCTTTCTTGTATCAGTTTGGCTCCATGCACCTAGGAGGCCTCGCTGGGCAGCTGGATTACTGCAGAATCCCATGTACACCTCAGAATGTATGAGGATGGGGCGGAGGGTGGGGGACAAGGGGCAGGGATAGAGGGAAAATGGACCAGATGAGCAACTCACCCAATTGCTCTGTCTTGTTCTGAGCGTCTTTTTCAGGGGTGGGCAGCTCAGCTAAGGGGGTGACAGGAGGCTTCCCTGTGTGGGATGAGGGGAGAGCCAACTTAAAAGAGTGAAGCATCAGGAAAGGGAGGACATAGGGCAGAGGAAGCAGGACACGCAGCCAGGAGAAGGAGAAAATGGATGGATGAGTCAAAAAGCTGCCAAAAAGAAACGGATGACGAAGAAGTGACAGGGTTGGAGCTGGGAGAGCCTAAGAGATTAACTCTAAGTACCCAGCCCCCATCATTTAAAGATGAGGAAACAAGTCTGGCCATAGACAGCAGAGACAGGCCAACTGGGCTCCCTGCCTACTGGTCCCAGAAACAGGGAGCCCAGAGACATAAAGGGAGGGGCACTGAAGAAGGAAAGTGAAGTTGAGTGGAGGCAGGTGCGGCAAGCAGGAGGCGGCAGGTCTAGCTGGGAGAGGAGATTACCACTCAAGTAAGAATTGACAGATGTGTAGGAATTTATTTTCGGTGGCAGCCTAATTAAAGTGTTAAAGTTCCTTAACTCCATTCAGCCCTGCGCCAGGATCATTAGCTATTGATCTGGGCCCCTCCGGCACTTAACTCCAGCCAGCATATTGGCAATTCAATTAGCACCAGTCAATGCTGCCTGTTCCTGGTTCCTGCTGCCCGTACCCTCACCCTCGCCCACCGCCAGCCCCTACAAAGCCCCGATGCCCATGCCCACCTCTGACAGCCCCTTCCAGGCTCTTCTCCTGCACCCTCTGGATCAATGACGCCTGGCGGGCTGTTCCTGGTCTCTGCTGGTACAACCTCAGCTGCCTAAGGGGGACCCTAAGCCCAGCCTTCGGGCTGAAGACCTCCTAGGAGACAGGAAGAGGCTGGGGAACTTGTCAAGGGCTTCCTATCCCTGCAACCTTCGGGCCAGGCCCACAGCTCCCATCTTCTTCTGACATACCCTGACCCAGCACGAAGTGGATTCCATTCTTCTGCTTTTCTAGTTCTCTCCTTCCTGACCAGCTCCTGCCGCTCCCCACACCCAGTGTTGCTGGGACGCTGGTCACGATTCGGAATCAGCGGGTGATTCCTCCTCATCTGCTTTCCTGTTCTCTGCTTTCCACCCAGCAAAGCCCTTGCCCTTCACTGCCTCCTCCCTCCAGCAGCCTCTTGCTCCTTGCTTCACTGGGCAGCCTCACTCTTCCCCAAGTTGGTTTTATCTCCCCTTCACAGCTGGCCCCTTCCCACTTGCTCTTGACTGCCCACAGACCCGTTTCTCCTCACTGGTATCACCTCACCACCCCCAGCTCCCACACCTGCTGCCCGCCCTGCCCCGTCCCCTCTTCCTCACCGGGAGTCCGGAGCTGCCCATGGCTGAAGCTCAGGATGCTCTGAAGAGCCGAGAGCCCTTCCTCGGCTGCGGGGCCACTCTGCAGCAGCTGCAGACGCCGCTGGGCCTGGGCGTCGCGGTGGGCCGGTGCACGTAGGTGCTGCAGCACAGCCAGGCGGGAGGGGGTCTCCCATGCACACAGCAGGCAGCGGAACAGCCCCAGCTCAGCCCCTGCCGCGGCCCCCTCCATCTCCAGCAAAAACTGGAAGCACAGAAAGAGGATGCTCAGGCCCAGAAGGGACAGACACCTTGAGATCTCACCTCCCCCAAGGGAGCCTGACCAGCAGCAGCCCCTCCCTACCCATCCCTTCCACCCTCTTCAGCCCCCTCCCCTTTCCCTCCTGTGGCCACCTGAATATTACTGCCTTTTCTCCCCTGTCTCCTTCTCTTCCTCCTACCAATCCTGGACTCCACCCTAGTAGGTGAATGGAATCTGGTTCCAACCTCTTGAACGGATGACAAGATGGCCTGAGCAGACACTCCCCTCCAGTCCCGAACATCAGAAAAGCCAAATAAAGTACTGGATTCATTTTATCAGAGTCCACCATCCTTTGGCCTCCCCTCCACGACTATCTCCAAAAAGTTGATTATCCCAGTACATACTTGCCACTGTATCCAGTCCTGGGTCTTCCCATCGCTCTCCCACTCGGCATCTCTTTGATCCGTCCCCATGCCCTTCTCTTCTCTCCCCCCAGAGGCTCTGTGCTGCTCCCCTCAAGTCCCAGAGGCTCCCTGCCCCACTCTCACCTTATAGATCTGGCTATTTTCTTCATGGGCTGCGCCCCGGGCGTGCAGCTGCATCTTCTCCTTGCTGTTGGACTCAAAGTCACAGATGTTGCAGCGCAGGTGCAAGGGGGGAACGGAGCCATAAGGAGCCCCATCTCCCAGGGGCACTGGGGAGGGGGTGCCCACGGCCCCACCCCCCTCCCTCAGGTGGGCTGCCAGCTGGTACTTTTGAGCATGTTTGTCAGTCTTGAGGTGGAGTTGAAAGTTGGCCTTGAGCTGAGTGCCATAGCAGCAGAGCTTGCAGCGGTGGGTGTCACCGGCCACCTCCTTCCATTCAGCCTCCGGGAGGCTTCGGCCCACGCTGCAGTGGTAGAGCAGCAGCTCCAGGTTGTCTGTGCTGAAGGCCTGGCACACTAGGCAGCGGAACACCTTCAGGGACGGGCTGTCATCTGGGGGTGGTGAGGTGGGCAGGCTGTCAGACAAGGAACCCAGGAGCTGACTTGGAGGCAGGTGGGTGTCCGGGGAGAGGCTGCCAGGGGCTGGGGGACAGAAGCAGGTTAGAGGCCCAAGGAAGGAATGGGGCAGTTGGGTAAATGGGGATAGCACCGAGGGAGCTGGGGTTACCCAGTGGGGGGCTGGCCCTTAGGAGGGAGCAGAGGCTCGAGTCTGGCCCTGGGGAAGGGAGAAGGGGAAACAGGTGCAGACCCCAGGCTGCTTACCTGGTGGGGGGAACTTGCGAGCAGGCGCTCCGAGGTGGTGGAAGCCGTTGAGAAGCAGCTGGGCTTCCAGGGGCTTGTCTGGCCTCAGCCCGGGGCCAGGCAAGGGAGCCTGAGGCTGCCCCAGGGCCTGCGGTCCGAAGTACTGGAAGAGCTCAGGGGGGGTGGCAGGGGCAGCTCCTGCCGGGGGAGGGGGCCCCGGCCCTACCAGTCCAGGCGGCAGGCCCAGCGGCAGCCCCTGGTGCAGCATGAGGACATTCTGCATGTGCTTCTCAGAGGTCATGTGGATGCGCAGGTTGCGGGAGATGTTGGTCTCGTAGCTGCACACCTTGCACTGCCAGGATGATTTGGTCTTGGGCTCCTTGTCCCCGGCAGAGGATGGGAGTGGCGCCTCCGGGGGGCTGCCCTGCCCACCGGGGCCTGCCTGGAAGCCCTGCAGGTTGGCCAGGTGCTTGTCAGACTGCATGTGGATGCTGAGGTTGCCCTTGGTGGTGGTGGAGTAGTTGCAGACATCGCAGCGGTAGGGCTTGTAGCCACAGTTGTAGCTCTCTCCACGGGCGAGGCGGGGGTGGGCGCCCCCGGCGCTGCAGTAGCTGCAGTGGCTATTGCTCTCAGGGTGCTTTTCCCGCATGTGCACGTCCAGTGTCTGCTGGTACTTGTAGTGCCAGTTGCACTTGGGACACTTGAGCGTCTTGCAGGAGTTTCGAGAGTGTAACAGAGACATGTGGCTGGACAGGCTGAGGCCCTGGAAGGCCGCAGGGGCTGGGGTGTAGTCTTCAGCTAGGCGGTAGGGCTGGGGTGGGTCGCTGGGGTCTTCGGGGGAGCCGACTGGGGCAGAGAGAGTGCCCCCCTCCTTAGAGGCAGGTGAGCTTTGGTTCAGTGGGGGGCAGAGCCCTCCCTCCTCTTCTTGCCCCTCCGGGAACCAATCTGGCCCTGCCTCGCCAGCTGCCATTGGCGATTCTTTGGCTTGGGTTGGGCTGGGGTCCCAGGTGGCGGGAGTTGTTGCGGGGGAGGGTGGGCTAAGTGCCCTGACTTCTTCCGCAGGCAGGACAGGAGCTTCTGCCTCAGGGGGACCATCCTCAGTCTGGGCTACATTGGCCTCTGTGTTCACCATGCTGCTATTATCAAGGGGCATTTCTAAAGGGGGGCGAGCAGGTGGTTTTGGTTCCAGAAAGCTTAGGAGGGCCATGCGGCCCTCATCTCCCACCTGAAGCACAGCTGCATTACTGGGCAGGCCCAGATGTTGAGCAGGGGTTAGCTTCACCCCATGAGACTGTGTGTGACCCATAAAGGCCTGGGCCCTGCTGAAACCCAGGCGGCACAGGAGGCAGAGCCAGAAGAGTGCCCTGTGGTCTCCTCCCCTGCTCCCCATAGGGCCATCTTTGGGATCTCCGGGTGGGTTTGGAGCCAGCTGGTAGCTCCAGAAGGCTCCATCCCTTCCCTCACAGGTGGCCGGAGATGGCGCTGAGGTATCATGGGACAGAATTTGGTCAGAAGAGCTAAAGCCTTGGATTGGGTCAAAGCCATGTTGGATGTGAAGGGCAGTGAGGTGTGCAGAGGGTAGGTGGGCAAGGAGGGGCAAGCTGGGCTCCTCCTTGATTCCCACCTCGCCCCAGGGGAAGCCCTTTGGTAACAGGAGTTCACTGCCACCTGACAGGGACAGCTTGGCTACTAGGTAGGCCTCACCACCAGCTGTGAAGAATAAATGGTTGCTTAGGTCCACGGGAGGGAACCCTCCTCCTTCCTCCTCCTGCTCCTTGTCCTCTTGCACTCCTAGGTCCTTTGGTGAGAAGCCACCACAGCCAGCCTCTTCTCGGGGCTCCCCAGTCTCCTTTGGTGGGACGAGGCCACAGCCCGACTCCAGGGCCTGTCCCCCTGGCTCTGAGGGCCTCATGCTCTCAGAGGTGGAGGGGGCAGCAGGGGGATCTTTGGTGACAGGATCAGCGGGGGTGCCAGGGGGGGAGGTGTCCGGAGGCGGAGACGGGGCATTGTGTCCAGGGGTGGGGGTGGTGCCAGTGGTAGAGGATGAGTTAAGGGTGGCCATGGCAGACGGAGGAGTGCCGGGGGTTCATTTCAGCGTGACGGCAAGTACCCTGGGGGGAAACATGGAGAGAGCAGGGCTGTGAGGTGGCAGGAGACACCCAGACAGGCCCTTGACTCTCCAGGTACTCCAGCCCCATTCTCTTCCCTGAGCACCAGACTCCAGCTACCCACCTGCCAACCTGAAGCTTCACCTTAGTGCTAACACACTTCAAACATAACATGTCCAAAATCAGAACTATTTCTCCCCCCGAACTCGTTCTTCCCATCTTCTCTATCTCAAAACTTGGGACCACCATTTATCTGGTTGCTAGGCTAAAAACCTAGAAGCTTCCTCTTGCCCGCTCCCCACATACAACAGGACAGCAACCTCTCAGGCGTCCTATCCCTCCGCTAGCATCGTCTCCAGTAGCATCAGCGTCGCCCCAGCCATGGTCTTTCCTGAACCAGTGTGCCGAGCTTCACGGCGGCTTCCGTTTCCACTGCTGCCCCTACAGCCCAGTCTCCTTCCATCCAGCCGCCAGAATGACCTTTCATTTAATTCTCAATTATGAAAAATGCCAGACCTATATAAAAGTAGACCAAATAACATAAGGTACCCCTTTGTACTCATGACTCAGTTTCAACAGCCACCAACACATGGCCGATCTTGGTTCATCCATATCTTTACCCACTTTCCCTTTTCCTGTATTGTTTTAAAGCAAATTTCAGGTATCTTAAACATCTTTTAAAAGGTAAATTGTGGGGCGCCTGGGTGGCTCAGTCGCTTAAGCGTCCGTGACTCAGGTCATGATCTCACGGTCCGTGAGTTTGAGCCCCGCATCGGGCTCTGTGCTGACAGCTCAGAGCCTGGAGCCTGCTTTGGGCTTTGTGTCTCCTTCTCTCTCTGCCTCTCTGCCTCTCATGCTCTCTCTCTGTCTCTTTCAAAAATAAATAAACATTAAAAAAATTCTTTAAAAAAAAGGTAAACCGTAGGGTGCCTGGGTGACTTAGTCGTTTAGGTGTCTGACTCTTGATTTCAGCTCAGATCATGATTTCGTGGTTTGTGAGATCAAGCCCCACATCAGGCTCTGTGCTGACATTGCGGAGCCTGCTTGGGATTCTCTCTCTATCCCTCCCCTCGCTCTCTCATAAATAAATAAACCAAAAAAAAAAA